TTAAAGATGAGAAAACTGAGGGCTCACAGAGGCTAAGTTGTTCAGATTATGAGTGGCAGAACAAAGTTTTAACCCAAATTTGCTTATGCTGAAAGGCTTCTTTTTTCAGAACACAAAACTACAAGTAAACAAATTAATTAATTAATTATATCAAGAAAATACAGCTGCCAAAGTGAATCAGGTAACAGTAAACAATCCACTCCCCTTGTTAACTCAGGCTATCAGTCGAGATGCCAAAACCTCTAAATATTCCTATTATGCACCCCATGGCTAAGGCAGATGTCTTTTTTGGAATTGATCCCGTAGAATTCGTTCATGTGAGGAAGACTAAGGAGGCCTGCTTCAGGGGCAGAGGACGAAAGGAGGGCAAAGGGTGTGGCGCGCGATCCGATGAGAACGAAAAGGAGGCGGGACCCTCTGCACCGCTTCCGGGGTCTGCAGGCCGCAATCCGCGGCCCCACTAACCCACCACCCCTGCCTCGGTCCCCATGCTCCTCACCGCTGCTCTGCCCCTGCACACCGCCGCCGCCGCCGCCACTGGAAAAGGCTTCCTCTGTGGGGGCTTCATACGGCGTGGAGGTGGTGGGCACGCCGTAGGGCGGGCTCTTCTCGCCCCAGTGCAGGTTGCGACTGCCGGGGATGTCTGGGGGAGTCGTCACCCAGTGGCCCAGGTCCGACCCGGTGCTGAAGGACCTTGCTGGAAAAGCGCCGCCAAAGCCCTGCTCGTCCCGGGCACCGCCCCGGTAGCCCAAGCCATCAAATCCGTCCGGGCGCCGCGGATGCATCGCAGCGGGGGCAGAATGACGCGAGCCCGCCCGGAGCCCACCACCACCCGGGCCGCCGCAACCTGGGACCACACAGCTTCCCCTCGGCCGCCGCCGAGTCAGGGGGAAATTCTGACAACCGGAAGTCACGTTGGGCCACCCGGAAATCTTGGAGGCACGTGATTGTAGCCTTTTCCGGCAACCATTAATGAGTACGGTTGCTAGGGAGACGCGGCACTAACCTAGACCTTCAAACTTTGTTGTCGTTAGGGAATAGGTGGGAATATGGTTGTGGGATTAATGAAATTACAGTACCAAAGAGATTCCAGAAAGAGAACTGGTGTAGGAATAGGGCCTGCATGGGAGCAGGTCAAATAAAGATGCTTCTTTGAGGGAGCTGATAACGCGCTGCGGGGACCTTACCCTCTGAGATCGCGGCCAGAAATACCCGGCGTCACAGCTACGCCCCAGATCTCAGTGTTTTCTCACGGGTCTGGTGCTCGCCTGCTCCGAGCGAGCTAGTAGAGGTTGGAGTTGTGGAGGGTTAAAACGTTGCACCTAGCTTTGTCTTCCGCACTGAGGGTTTTGGATAAAATCTATTCAGAGATAGAGTACGCGACATATGAACGCGAAAATACTACGGACCACCAGAGCCAGCATTTTAAAAGTTCAAGTGAAAGTCGGGGGAGAAAGAAACCAATGTACTCGAATACTGCCCTTCTGGAGTTAGGAATTACGCGTTTTACTTTTCTAAGGCTGTAAAGAAACTATAGTTTTCTGTTGTATTTTTTCCTAATATATTTATATCTCTCAGGGTATTGAAATCCCAGTGATATCCTTCAAAATTGGGACCCCTAATTGAATAAGTGAGAGGACTTCTGTAGAGGGTCCCCTACTACCTGTTTTCATTAGCTCCACGGGCTCTGGGGACAATCTCCCTCCCCAGGTCTGAGGAAGACTTCCAGGCGTTCATCCTATGTTCCTTCACCTCAATGGACGCCCAGGATTCCTAGAGCTTTTCCAAGAGAACCCTGACGTGCTGTTCTCAATCTTCCAGATGCGAATCTTGATTGAAAGCGATAATCAACTTTGTTTTGAGCGAATTGGCTTTTTTTTTTTTAGTTTTATCACTATTTTTATTTTTTGTGAGTACCTAATAGGTGTATGTATTTATGGGTTACATGAGATATTTAGATACAGCATGCAGCATGTAATAATAACATTTTTGTAAATGGGATATCCATCACCTCAAGCATTTATCCTTTGTGTTACAAACCCATTACACTCTTTTAGTTATTTAAAAATGTACAATTAATATTTTCAAGTAACAAATTGACATTCTTAAATTTGACTGAGATGTAGCATGGGCAAAGGTGTTGAGTCTCTTACTGGAGTACTAATACCAAATTCCTGGATAATTAATATCAAATTAAATATTGGCTAAATATAAAAAATATTTCTCTGTTCCTTTGGAATGATTGGCTCAAGGATGGTATTGTATCAGTTCCTAAGCTTTTTATTTATTTATTTATTTTTAAGGAGAAAGATTAGAAGGTCTAATTGTTTCTGTACTTTTAACATAAAAAACAGTGGCATCTCACAATTTCACATCCACGTGAGTGGAGAGGATGAATTATTGAAAGGAGAGCAGCTGGGTGGCCAGTTGAGGGGGAAAGCAAGGCAATAAGAGCCCTACTTACTCTGAAAGTAAATCTGTAATACACTGCATTTTTCTTTAGTTTTCCAATATTAAATGTTGGAAGAAATAAGAAAATAATAAGTGAATGCCTTTTAAACAGTGAGTTGAAAAGCTTTCTAAGAGTACAGCAAAGTCAAAAGCCATTTAGGAAGTCAGTAAAATACTATAATCAATATGACTGTATAAAAGTTATATTTCTGTATAGTAAAATTTAAAATATAATAATCACAATTGAAAGACAAATCACAAACTGAAAAATGACATTTTAACATGGTTTAAATAATGCATATACACAAAAAGTTCATGCCAATGAATAAAAGCAAATCAGAAATATGAGCAAAAGACATGTAGAGGCAATTCATGCAAAAAATGTAAATAGATAATTTTCATATAAAAATGTTCTTTACTAATTGGAAAAAGGTAAATCTTAATAAAAATTATCTTTCACCTATTAAGACGTTTAAAAGGGAAAATGCACATTGTCTTTCCAGGTGAGAAGGAAGTAGCTTTCATTAATTTCTGAAGTGACATAAAACATAACTGTCTGATGGAAAGCAGTATGGCATTAGGCATCAAAAACTTATTAAAATAACCATATTTTTTGACTGCTAAATCTTAGAAAACAAATATAGAAGTTTTTTACATGTTTCTGGCATGTATAATATACATATGTTTATGCCATGATTGCTCATAATAAGAAAAAATAAACGGAATGTAAATACCAAGTAATTATTATTGACTAACAATTTATTGTTAGAATTATATATCCATACAGTTGTTTAACCAAAATATATTTATTAAGCACCTATCTTGTGTCAGATACTGTTTTAAGCAAAGAGAATAGAGTGATAAATAAGCCAGACAAAGTGCTTGCATTGTTGGAACTGACATTCTAGTTTAGGGAGACAAATAACAGGTAAATATCTCCTGTCAAATATGATGTAATGTCAAATAATGACATGATTATATTTAAAAAGTCTAAGTAATAAAGAAAGCTTTTTTTAGAACAAGGAAGTCCTCTCTGAAGAAGTGTCCTTTGAGCAGATAACTGAATGAAGTGAGGGAGTGAGACATTTGTGAATATGTGGGAAAAGTTTTCCAGGCAGTGCTGAGCAAGTGAAAAGCCCTGATAGCAAACTAGGTAGCCAGTGAGCAAGACGAAAGTGGTAGGACATGAGAGCTGAAAGGAGACCAGGTGCCAGATCTCGCAAAGCGTTGTTAGTGGTGAACAAAATTTAGGTTTTTTGGGAGTAGAGAAGTAATGTGACTGTACTGATATTTTACAAGAATCCACCTGGCTTCTGTATTGGCAAGGGTGAAGCCTTCCACCTATTAAAGGCTAGCAGCTCAGGCAAAAGATAGCAATAATTTAATTTAGAGTGATAGTGTAATGGAGATGAGAAGAGCTTAGAAAGAAGATGTTTATAGGTTACATCAGAGATGAATGTTAAATGTCATGAAAATATTCATGTTCAATTTAAAACATGTACAGTATGATCTTATGTTTTTAAAATATTAAAGATACACAATAGAAAGATGTGCTAAAATGGTAGTATTAAGTTAGGTCTGAGCATGGATTTGCATAGTTTTTAAAAATTGTCATTATTATTTTATTTATTTTTGAGATGGAGTCTTGCTCTGCCGCCCAGGCTGGAGTGCAGTGGCACGATCTTGGCCCCCTGCAACCTCTGTCTCCCAGGCTTAAGTGATTCTCCTGCCTCAGCTTTCCAAGTAGTTGGTACTACAGGCACATGCCACCATACCCAGCTAATTTTTTTTGTGTTTTTAGTAGAGATAGGGTTTCACCATGTTAGCTGGAAGGGTCTCGATCTCCTGATTTTGTGATTCACCTGCCTTGGCCTCCAAAAGTGCTGGAATTACAGGCATGAGATGTTGTGACTGGCCTTATTTTTTTGCTTTTAAAAAAAATTTTAACTTTTTTTCCTAAGAAGAAAAATTATTTTAGGAAAAAAATTAATAGAGAAAGTTTAGTTTTGGGCAGACACAGAAATAAATATCTTTTTACATTACCAAATCTGTTTATATTATCTAATCAGTAGTCTCTAGTGTACTATGAAAGTTCCGTCATCCTATATTTATCCAAAATATTTCTAAAATAATTATGCTGACATTATGCAGAGTTTATTGCTTCATACTAGTTTGAGAAACTCATAACACAGAAATTAAAATGTGAATTTATAAAGTTGCCAATGCATTTTATGAAAATAATACAGCATTTGTATTAGTTTCTATTGTGGCACAATGAATTATCCCCATAACAAATCAAGCAGCTTAAAACAACATTTATTATTTCATAGTTTCTGTAGTTTAGGAATTTCAGAGTGGCTTCGCTGGATAGTTCTGTGCTAGGTTTCTCAGAGGTTGCAGTTAAGATTTCTACTTGGGATGCAGTCATTTTAGACTTGACTGGGTTTGATAAGGGCTGGGATCCCCTTCTAAGATCTCTTACTCAGACAGCTGTAGATAGAAAAAGTGTCTATTTCTTGCTGATTGCTGTTAATGAGATTTCAGTTCCTTGCCACACGAAGTTCATAGACATCTTGAGTGTCCTTATGACATAATAGCTGGGAGGCAGACAGACAGCAAGGAGGAAGCACAATGTCGTTTATGACCTAATCACACCTCATCACTTCTGCCATGTTCTGTTTTTGGAAGAGAGTCACTAAGTCCAACCCCACACTTAAAGGGAAAGAGGATTTGACTATCTTTTGAAGTGAGGATTATCAAACAATAGCATTTATATTAAATGACTAAAATATTAAATTACTATATAACAATTAATGGGTAGAGGATATTATTAGGCACCAAAATTAACACGGCAATTTTTAACTCAAATAACAGAATAATATAGTTTTTTAAAACTTTTTCCTTAGTAACTAGGTTTAAAGAATTAACTTTCCTTGAAAATAATGATATGATAGAAATATGTATAAACCCTCAAAGAGGTTAATACATATTTTTGAAAGTCCAGTTGTTATTATTATGGTTGAGTTGAAATGCAAATGAAGAGTAGCAGACTGTTTCGACAGTTTTTAAGAATTGGCACAGAATGCTATGGCCGCAGCAAACAAAAGTGCCTGTACAAAGCAAGCTAGTCATTCATTTATCTTAACATTTTGCTCAGAAATTCTGATGCTAAATAAATTCAGCTCATAGGATAAAATAAAAATCACCTATATTTTTATTCAAGAAGTTACTCAGCAACATATATTAAGCACCTATTATGTGTAAATCACTGTGTTAGGTACTGTAATACAACTATACACTATTCTATCTCTTTTTGGAGACAGGGTATCACTGTTTTGCCAAGGCTGGTCTTGAACTCCTGGGCTCAAGCGATCTGCCCACCTCGATCTTCCTCCAAAGTGCTGGGATTACAGGCATGAGCCACTATGCCCTGCCTGGTAAGTACTTTAAAAGGTGAAATTTAGTAATATTTTAAATATTTTATGTGTAAAATGACTTGAAATGGGCAATTGAAAAAATATTCTTCAAACAATACAGGTATTTTTGTTTTGTTTTTGTAAAATGATGTGATGTAACAGTCCACTGTGGTGTGTTTGATCTTGATTACATTGTTAGGAAAGTTAGGCAAAGCACATTCAATATCTAAATACACCTCTAGTGGATTTTTGTAGGTCGAATGACCATTTTAATATCATTTGACTTTTAAAAAAATTTATATTACTTTCAGGTGTACATGCGCAGTTTTAATATGTAGGTAAATTTATGTCACAGAGGTTTGTTGTATAAGTTATTTTGTCACCCATTAAGCCTAGTACCCAATAGTTTTTTTTCTGCCCCCTCCCTCCTCCCACCCTTTACCCTCAAGTTGGCCTCTGTGTCTGTTGTTCCCTCTTTGTGTCTCTGTGTTCTCATTATTTAGCTCTCAATTATAAGTGAGAATGTAGTATTTGGTTTTCTACTCCTGCATTAGTTTGCTAAGGATAACGGCCTCTAGCTCCATCCCTGTTCCTGCGAAGGACATGATCTTGCTCTTTTTCATGGCTGATAGTATTCTGTGGTGTACATGTACCACATTTAAGGGCATTGATGGACATTTACGTTGATTCTATGTCTTTGATATTGTGAATAGTGGTGCAATGAAAATAAATGTGCATTGTCTTTATTGTAGAATGATTTATATTCCTTTGGTTATATACCTAGTATTGGGATTTCTGGGTCAAATGATAGTTCTGTTTTTAGCTCTTTGAGGAACCACCACACTGCTGTCCACAATGGTTGAACTAATTTACACTCCCAGGCAACAGTGGTTTTTAAATGTGAGGACATGAGATTTGGAGGGGCTGGGGTAGAATGATCTGGTTTGGCTGCATCCCCACTCTAATCTAAATTTGAATTGTATGTCCCGGAATTCCTATGTGTTGTGAGAGGAACCCAGGGGGAGTAATTGAATCATGGGGACTGGTCTTTTCTGTGCTAGTGTTGTGTTGGTGAATAAATCTCATAAGATCTAATGGGTTTCTCAGGGGTTTCTGCTTTTGCTTCCTCCTCATTTTTCTCTTGCTGCCACCATGTAAGAAATGCCTTTCACCTCCTGCCATGATTCTGAGGCCTCCCCAGCTAGGTGGAACTGTAAGTCCAATTAAACCTGTTTTTGTTCCAAGTTTTGGATATGTTTTTATTAGAAGGGTGAAAATGAACTAATACAGTATTGAATGGAAATTATTTGCAATTAAGTTATACATTCCTTGGCAAACCTAAACTGATGTCACAGAATATTAAAAATAGTAAGATATTGTCATCTAGAAAGTTGTTAAATCAAAATCAAAATGAATGTTAATTCTAATGCAGCAGTTCAAACTGATAAATACTTTTTCATGGCTATATTTTTTTCCTATGATTCACTTTTGATGTCAGTTTGTTTTCCCTGGAAAAAAACTGATTTTCCCTGGAAAATCAATTCTGATCTAAGAAGCTAATTGAGCATAATGGACTACTTTGAATCATGGAAGTAAAGATCCTAATAGCCTTGATTCCAATCAGCTGGAGGACTGAAGCTTAAGGTTTGAGAAAAATGATTAAAGAAAATATAATTCTTATTTTAAATTGCTTAACTTACTATAATAGTTTCATCTCTTTCCTAACTTTTTAGTGAGCACTCACTATGTAGATCTCTCTAGGTAATATTTTGGTAAGTGCTATAAGTCCTTATCTTTAGAAGGTTTCCTTAGCATTCTGAGTGCTCTTATATAGCACTTATCCTTAGAAAGATGCTTTCTAAGTTATCCTGAAAGAGACAAAGATTATTGTGTTGGAAGGCTTCTAGAATGAGGTGTCTTCCAAGTTGAATGTGTCACTTTGGTTGAAGATAACAGAAACTCAATTTGTTACTTTAAAAAGGAGATTTATTGACAGGATAATCAGAGTTTATAGAATTGATAGAAGTCTGGAAGACTAGGATTGAAATGGACAGGAAAAAAAAAATGCTGTTCTGGAGGACTGTGAAGTAGGAGGTACCACAGCTGTCTTTTGGCAGGAAAATCTGTAAGGGTGCTACTATCATTGCCCAGGGCACATTATTGCTATTTTCATCTTGATCTTATTTGCTAAAAAATAAAAATCTTATATAAACAGGAGATATTTATATAAGGAATATCTCTTTATATAAACAGGACATATTTATATAAGGAAGAATTCACAAATATATATATTATATGCACAATATATATTTTTAGCTTTTGATGTATTGAATATATATAATGGATATATTTTTTGAACTTTCTCTTTTGAAGTACAAAAGGGTATTCATACTCAGATAGCTATACACACACACACACACACACAGACACAGTATGTATATATATATACTATATAGTATCTATGTACATGTAGATACTCTATACATATACATATAGATACTGTATGTATACATATATATATACTGTATATATACTATATACTAGAAGATACATACATATTATATAGTATATATATACATATAGATACTATACATATATATAGACTTAGACTCTCTGGCCCCTCCCAAGAGTCTAAGCAGTCCACCCTGGAACAGCCACCAGGTTATTTGATAGGGAAGTGTTTTCCTGGGGAAGATAAAGAAGGGGGAACTTTCTTATTGCTATGAATAAGGATACTCATTTGGATTCACTTAACTCCATATGTTACTTTAAACAGGAGATTTATTGACAGAATAATCAGGGTTTATAGAATTGATAGAAGGCTGGAAGAACAGGATTGAAATTGACAGGAAAAAAAAAATGCTGTTCTGGAGGACCAAGAAGTAGGAGGTACTACAACTGTCTTTTGGCAGGAAAATCTTGAAGGGTGCTGCTGCCATTGCCCAGGGCACAGTTATTGCTATTTTCATCTCGATCTTATTTGCTAGAAATTCAAAATCTCAAATTCAAAAGAACAGACTTTACATGTTCTTTCGTGGTTGGTGAAATTGTATCTTTTAAATTTTTATTTATTTAGTATGAAGACTCTTTTGGACTTCAAAAGAAAGTTGAAAAGATTTATCTAATATATTATATATATTCAATATATCAAAAGTTCAAAAACGCTTCCCTACCAAATGACCTGGTAGCTGTTCCAGGGTGGACCGCTTAGACTCTTGGGAGGGGCCCAAGAGTCTAATTCTATATATATATAGTATCTATATGTATATAGATACTATATAGTATGTATGTATCTTCTAGTATATAGTATATATATATATATAGTATTTATATGTATATATGCAGTATCTATAGGTATATGTTTATAGTATCTATATGTACATAGATACTATATAGTATCTATATATATATTTTTTTGTGTGTGAATTCTTCCTTATGTAAACATCTCCTGTTGTCTTTACTGTAGAATCTATATGGGTGACTTTTTTCTCTAAATGCACTATAGTTTCAATTGATTTTTATATTATGGAGAAGAATTTTTTATTTGGCCTTCCTTGTATTCCTTTTTAATTCAATCTTCATTTTATTATGAATAGCCTGGTTAACAGTTTGTATTTTTTATGCTTTTAACACTTTACTAGATCTCTTGAAATTAAAACAAGCAAGCCACCAGGCCATTATTAAATACCAAAGTCTTTTCATTTTCATTTTATCTGGATTATGGCAAGTGCTTTTGATAGTCTAAGATTTTTTTCTCTAACATATATAGTTTATAGCCTTTGTCAATTTCAGTTTTTGTTATTATCTTTAACTTACAGATTTTCTAGGAGTGATATGTTTCAGAGAAGCCTGGGGTCAAATATTGTAATTTCTGTTTGAAATATAAAAATGCAATCAAAAAAACAACAAAAAAGATTTATTTGGTAGTTTTTATAAACAAACTTAATTCTGAATAGAGGTATTTCAAGTTAACTTTTTTTCGAAATTCTAATTTTTTAAGGCAGTTCATTTCGCAGGACAGTCCTTGTACATTACATTTGTTTTTTTTTTTTTTTTTTTTTTTGAGACAGTCTCACTCTGTCGCCCAGGCTGGGGTGCAGTGGCATGATCTTGGCTCACTGCAACCTTCGCCTCCTGAGTTCAAGCCATTCTCCTGCCTTAACCTCCTGAGCAGCGGAGATTACAGGCACGTGCCCTCGTGCCTGGCTAATTTTTGTATTTTTAGTAGAGATGGGGTTTCACCATGTTAGCCAGACTGGTTTCGAACTCCTGACCTCGCGATCTGCCCACCTCAGCCTCCCAAAGTGCTGAGATTACAGGCGTGAGCCACTGCATATGGCCTACATTTGAATTTTATCATAAATGCTCTTCTCCATTATTCCATATAGTGTTTTACACTGGTGAACATTAGTAAAATATGTTGCTTGTCAGTAGACATAGGAATTCTACAAGGGTTTTTAAAGGACTCATATTAGATAATTCTATTGCATAGTACCTTTAAAAAATAGGCCTTTTTTTGTGTGTGTTTAAATTCGCCCTCTGGTGGTTAGTATATAGCACAACATTCTAGGTGCTTTGTTTACTCACTGACGGGTGCTGAAGACACCGGCTGCGCCAAACCCTCTATGTAAAAAAGAGCTTACGAACAGCAATTTGATTAAAAGAAATAGCTACTTTTGGTATGACAAGCATGCTGATTTGTTTTCGGGGAGTGGCATTAAGACATTGAGGAGACATTTAAGCCCTGTCAAGCCACTTCTTGCTGCGGCTTCTGACAGGATGTGCAAGTATGTACAATATTTAAAACAAATCATTACTATATTCTTTTAAAACTTATAAAGGTTTTTCACACAACATTGCATTTATTCTTCCGAAATTGAACACAAATGTGGTGCAGACGGGTCTGGGCAGGTGGAAATTCACTTATAAATCCTGATTGGCTAAGCCCTGGTCACGAGACTGTAAAATAGCACTCCGTCTCTCAGAGCGACTCCCACAGCGTCGTTAGCAACCAGCCTTGG